TTTCATGTATTTATTGAACTGATTCAGTTTATCATTTAAATACATTACAGCAGCAAAATTAGTTTTATAGATAATATAATATGTTATGTAGTTTTTTTTATTAATTTGTACATTGCATATAGATCACATAAAGATTGGTTTAAATTAAAATTTGAAGGACGAGAAAATTTTTTCTCCCTCGTGATTGCAGAAACCATACAAGCACCATGCATAATACAAGTGACTTGCACCAATTTGGCATTAAAAAATAAGAGCAGAAAGACAATTAATTCTCTTGGTTCTTTAAGATCGGAGTAGGGGGAATAGTGCATACAATGACATTAGATTAGGGTTTCAGGCCAAGATCAAAGAGATGGTTTTGCACGTAATGAGTGGAACCAAACATCCAGATTGGCAGACAAACAAAGAATACAAAGACTCGTCTCCTTTTCAGCAGTGGAAAAGGAAAAACTTTAAATTTATGAGCTGACAAGTTTTTAACAATCAACTAAATTACTTCAGTCAATAAACCAAGAAAAAACAAATGACCAGAAACTAATCAAGTACAAAATAACTGGATCCCTTAAAAAAAAGGGACTATTTTTCTCGAGAGTCGAGAGCAAAATCCATGGCATTATGGTCTTTTTCCCTCAATAAACACACAGCTCTTACCTCAAAAAAAAATATACAACTCCATAAAAATTACCTGTCCTTGGCAGCTCAACCTTACCAAAATGATACAAGTTTGCTCGCCTCAAAGGAAAATAACAGGGGGTTGGTGTGCATGCATAGTCATTTTCCAAGTTCATGTGTAAAACCACTGCAGTACTTCGGTGCAAAAAAATATAAGACTTGGCTAGAGTGAATTCTGGCAAGCCTCAATTTCAGCTGCCTGTGAATCCAACACAGATTGCCCAGAGGGACTAGAACTAACGGTCCTGACTGCTGAGTCCATAACAACTTTCCGGAACCTGTCGTCCTCAATCTTCTTTAAGACCTCTTGCACCGCAGCAAAATCCAAACCCATTGCTAAAATTAGTTTCCCGATAATCTCGCCAAAATTGTTTGGTGCTTTAGGTAAATCAATGCCAATGTCATCCAACATGGAAGCATAGAGCAAAACTCCGGTCCCTACGTCTTTGGGTGCAAGAACCTTCTTCAGAAGAAGATAATCCAGGAGTTTTGCTACTGGTTCAACACAGGGTGGGCTTTTCTCTAGTGCAATTGAGATGGCTTCCTTGACAACTTCAGGGTGGTACGATGGAGACCTCAATTCCTCCACACATTGCAGTGCTTCATCCAACAGCCGAACACTGTAATATTCTTCCAGCAGGGAAATGTTTTCTCTAAGATCATCTGGATCATCTTGGCAGCTGAGCCACTGGTTATCACAGGAGTCAAAGCAGCAGCGGGAACAGGTCTAGCAGGCACAGGAACTGAGCCGTAGGCTCCAAACCTAGACTAAAAGGACGTGCAGGAGGGGGGTTGCTTCCCTGCAACAGTGCACTTGTTCTCCCACTAATAATGCCACCACTACCCTGAGGCAGAAGTTTTGAGTTCATTGAAGTTGACTTGTTGACCAACGGTGATGGCACACGTCCTCCAGGTTGCATGCCTGCACCAGCACCTCTAGGCATTGACCGAGTCCTCGGAACCTCCCAATTATCATTATCCATTCCAGGCATCCCAGGCATCCTTCTAGTTCCTGGCATACCAGGCATCATGCCACCAGTTCCTGGTCGATTGACAGGGAAGGGCATAGGACCAGGACTTCCTGGAGGGCCAGAAACAACACCACGAGTATTTCTAATGCTTGCAGTGGCACCTGGACGCAACCCAAGATTCTTTTCTGCTTCTGTATGAATTTCAGTTATTGTTTTGGCTTTTACCTACAAATTCGAATGACAGAGAAAGACCATAAAACATCAAGACCCCATTCTCCATGTTTCAAAAACACATGCACATCTGAACATGTAAAGATCTATTATGAATGAGTGGGAGTTGGTACCTCTTCACGCCTAGGAACCCAGTTGTTGGCACGTAGATCAAGAACATCACGGACCATAAATCTCAGTCTTGGAGCCAACTGAGGATTGGTTGTCAACTCCTTCAATCGACTAAAATACGTATCATTTATATGTCGTGATTTTGGCTTCTCATCGAGCTGCTTACCAATAGTGTTGAAGAATTGACAAATAGCCTCTACATTTTCCTCAGCAGGGCAAATTTTATTATCATGCCCCAGAAGCTCCTGTGATGATGCATAAAAATAAGTTATCTTTGAAACAACATACATCGTCAATAATTCATTCATCAAAAGAAGTGACCATTAGCTAATACCTGAACAATGTGATGAACAATCTTTTCAGGCACCATCTTCTGCTTTAAAAGCTCTCCAATTAAACGAATGTTGCCCAAAGTACGGAGCTTCATTATTCTTTCTTTATCTCTCCGGTCCGCTTCCTGCTCAGGAGCAGTCATCTGCCTCACTTCTTCCCTCAATTTGTCAGCACCTTCAAATGCTTCCTGGCAGTTGTTCAGAAGGACTCGCTTAAATGTGACTTCTTTTCCTCCAGGCTCATCAGATGGAAACGAGGGAAGCTTTTCATTAAGATCAGAACACAGTAGGGCGTACATGGGACAAAATGTAGGCTCCAAGACAGCCTTATCAAATATCAGCGATATAACTCCCTGTATTGCAAGTCAAAGCATGAGTTCAACTGAAACTACCAAGGATGTAGACTTAAAAGTAAATGAAAGCCATGTCGAAGGCGTATATAGGTGGACCTTCAGGATATCAGCAGATGTGATGCCAGAGTCTATCAGTTGACCCTTGAGAAGATCATATTTTTCAGGTGTTAGCTTGTTGAGTATCCTACAACCACCAAAACAATAGATATGGTATTAGGTAGGGAAGAAAATCAGCTGGACCTTAAAGCTTTAGGGAACTTATACAAGCAATTTAATTGAGTTCCACATTAAGTGTCATGCCAATGGGAAAAGATAAAGACACCTCTCAGTAAAAGAAAATTATATTCATCATTTCAAGAAAGAGCCTGATCATATGCGAAAATTGTTTATAGAAAAAAGTAAGCAACATTTTTCACTATAACCCAAGCAACATTTACAGAACATGCCATAGTACCAACAAAACCACCAAAAGAAGAAAGCTCTGCCCCTCAAAGAACTGATAAAAGTTAGCAGATGTCTCCTAAGCACATTTTTTAAAAAATAATAATGTCTCCTAAGTACATGATAATTTTATAATAAGAATTCCACTAGATGAAAAGAAGCAAGCTACTAGCTATTTAATGCCTTCTTTGAAGACATACAGTGTCCAGACTTGTACAGATGAAGCTTGCTAGAACCACTCAACCTCAATGGTAAATCCATTGGGTTTGCATATAAACAGAACTTATATTGGCTTGTGGAGTTTATAAACCATCACTTTGTTTACAAAAATATATATTATATTGATTAGCAAAACAAGTATATTAGTTAATATTTCTTGGTTCTTTTAGGTTCATTATATTATTTAACAAATGCTCAACCTTGTTAAAGCCAAGTGCAGTAGCAGAAAAGCAAATCGAAATTTTTATGATAAATTACCCTTTCACAGTCTTCAAAACCCGCTCCTTTTCATCAAGATTTCCCCGTCTAGCTGACCATGGCACATCAGCTTTAACTAAAGCAGGGGCCGGTCCAACCTGGTTTGACAAAGAAAATAATGGTGTTGGTACAAAGCATAATGGCACATGCAAAGAATCTTTGGTCTTCAAAAAAATGTAGAAGAGCTTTAGTGAGAACTTAAACAAAGAAGGGTGAGAGCAAAAGTAACAGCAAAAGCTACATTAACAAGTTGGGCCATAACAAATAGCAGCTGCCGAGATCTGCCTATAGTTAAGTAGAAATGTCTATTTCATAGTTCATAATTTATTTTCCTCAACCTACTCACATCATCCAAGTATTTGTATCTCAAAAACCTGGTCTACTTGGTCCTAAAACAGGCAAGTGAACATCCAAAAAAAATTGCTTTAAGTTGTACATTAATCGATTGATTTTGAACAAAATACCCAAAGAAACAAAAAGACGAGAATAGATGTAAATCCCAGAGTGAATAATCATTAATTCAGATAAAATAGCAAAAGCTGCATTAACATGCAGGTGATAACAGCTGGGCTATAAATTAAAAAAATAACAGATGCAGAGATCTGCCTTTAACTAACCAGAAATTTTTATCTTGTAATTCAAAATATTTTTCCTCAACCTACTCGTATCATCTAAGTAATCAAATCAAACATGCCTGGCGTACTTTATTCCAAAACAGCCAGAGAATGGCAAAAAGGTTCTGTTTCAATTTAGAAGCTGTCCATCAATCTACGATTGTTTCTGAACAAAATAGCCGAAAATGTCTGCAAGAGGTTCTGTCTCAAGACCAAATTAGTCACTGAATTTTCACTTTAAAGACACCATAGATTTCGCACTTTAGAGCACGTAGAAATTCAAACTAAAAAGTGAGACAGAGAATGTAATGGCTAAATCACTTCTATACCATTTTTGGCATTAGTTTTTTCTTTTCTTTTACCAATCTAAGATGAGAAGTTGGACTGGAAAAAATATCCTAAAGTGAGGTCACAAAGTTACATGAATACTAAATCGACTCTTAAGTTAAATCTAAACGAATTTGCATTCCTTGGTTAGTAGAGCTTAGTGAGAAAGTGCAAAAAAGTTCAACAATAACTATCATCTCAAGATTCTTCTCCTCATCTTAGTAAGATGTGCAAAATACAGGAAATTTGAAGCACCACAAAATCATTACAATTCTAAGAGCTAAAGGACAAATACCAAGTTTCAATTTTCTGGTAATATAATGCAAACCTAAAAAGTTAAAGGAATACAATAGGTTAACAAGTGAGTAACACAAGCAGTATTTGCAGACGTAAATGGAACTTGAAAAGACAGATAGATGGAACAGATCAATTACCCCTTGGCTGGAGGAGATTTGAGCCCTTGAAAATTGAGAGTTGAGTTGATCTTGGCGATTAAATTGATTCGAATCTTGCTGTCTGGGATCATATCGGCCAACAAACTCTCTGTTTTCTCGAAGAGATTCCCAAGATCTCTCCTCTCCAGGTAAAGAAAATTGTGCAGAACGATTACGCCAGTCACGATTGTCCGGCTCAGAGTACCGACTTTGAGGTTGACTTGGGACCTATTGGATATTTAGAGGATCAATCATTATAACTCTTTGTAAGATTTTACAAGATCATGTCTATAAATGGTAAATTTATACATAGGACAATATTTTATCGAAATTATCAAAAAGAAAATAAAATGAAAAGCAAAAAAGAATCCTGCACTTACATTAGTTTCTGAACGACCCCAATTCTGCTCTTCGCCAAAAAGTTCAGTCTCAATTTCCCGTTTAATCTTTAGAATCTCATCGAAGACTTCAACAGCCTGGGGAAAGATACACAACATACTTAGAAATTCAACAGCAGAGAAACAGCACAAGTCCGAAAAGCAAACAGGCAAAAGTAGAAAATATTTCATCAAAATATTTAATTTAGATATGATAACCCCTCTGAGCTTACTTGGCACCAATTGATGAGAGAAAAAATCTAGAAATCAGATAATAAAAAAATGGAAAACAGAAGTATATAACCGGAAGAGGTACAAAATTACTCCCCATAAATCACCAACCACCAGACTATACATAGAAAAGCCAAGAATAATTTTCATGAAAAATGAACAATGCTCCACTCTTCTTCTAGTTTATAAGGACTTATCTAAAGAAAAGGAATGACATGACTCACAATGTTGACATAGAAAAGCCAAGAATAATTTTCATGAAAAATGAACAATGCTCCACTCTTCTTCTAGTTTATAAGGACTTATCTAAAGAAAATGAATGACATGACTCACAATGTTGCTCCTCCATCAATTATTTTACAAATCTGGGTATCGACCATCATGGGCATACACTCAAGTTATTACCTCTCTAAGCTGTAGCAGCTGATCACGGGTGTACCGCACACGCTCACGGCCCTCAAATCGTGAATCTCCACTCTGGAAAGGGTAAATAAGAAAAAAGATCGAGTGAATAAGCAGAGAAATGTAATTATAGGGACAAAAATAACATATAGCATGCAATAATTTGCATAGAGGGCTGCAAACAGATGGCCTAGACAATGCCTCAAATGTCAAAGCTTCCAAATGAAACGACTTCTGCCAACAGCTAAAGCTCAAAACAAATTAAATAATATTAAGCATGACTTTCAAGAGAAACTAACATATTCCAAACTAAAAGCCCACCAAGAGGCACTTTAATCAGAATCAACATATCAGAATGAAAGAACAACAGAGAACCAATACTGCCTTAAAGCAATCACAATTAAATAGTGTTTAGGGCAGACTTCGGGAGCAATCGCAATGGTTAACAAACAATAAGAAAATAAAAATGGTCCATAAATTGCATTATACAATAAGCACGTAAATCCCCAACCTCCTGGCTCATTGGATGATCGTTCTTTTCTTTCATCACAATAGACGTCTCAATATTTGTAGATCCTTTATGGGCAACCAAACTCATAGATTGCCCACCTAAAGACTACATATCATTCTTTGTCCATATTTACAGCAGATACACGTGTTGAGTGTCCCGCCAAGAATTAGGACATTAAGCAGCATTTTCATACCAAGTTGCCTTAAATATGATAAAAAAAAAAATCAATTGACATAATAAATTAAAGACGTCAATGAGTGTAGTACTAGCCGTACCTAAACATAGGATATCTATTGGAAAGTTGCAAAAAAATGTTTTTTCTTCCAACATCAACCTTACTACCGTAAGACAATCTTCGGTCAGTAGCAGCAGCAAATAACACACACCACACACTTTCCATAAAGACAAACTTTTACAGAGAAAAACTATATATTATAGTTTGTAACAATAAGACAACAGCATATTGTAACACCAATCAGCTGAAGATCCAAAAATTTCCTCAGAATCAGATCCATAGTTCTCCAGATTCCAATCCCGAGCTCAATAAAACAGCTTCCTGATTACAATCTAAGACAATGAAATATCGAATTTCAATAGCAATCAACAGCAAAATGCAACCCTCATAATAATTCCAATGAAAAGGACAGGGCATAATCAAAATCACATTAACATACCATCAAAAGCAATCTTTAAAAACGGCATAGAAGGCCTAGATCCAAAAAGTGACAAATAGTTTAATGTCTTCGTATACCTTTAAAAGGAGAGCAGAAGGAGGGACACCGCCATGGGGACGCAGGAGAGGAAGATCAGACGAAGAGAGCGAACCAAAAGCAAAAGCAGAGGAAGCTGAAGAAGAGGACTCGAAGCGAGGACCAAGGAGTCTGCTTCCGCGACCACCGCCAGGTCTCAAGTTCAAAGCCGTCTGATCACCTTGCTGCATACCTCGATCTTTCACTCGAGAGATTAAATCTCCGCCGCACAACCAAAAGAGATAAAAAGAACCTACAGAGATAGGTAGATAGACGATAAAAAGAGAAGACTCAGCGATGCGTATATCACTGAATCGAGATTGATAGCTTCTGTTCTGTATCGAAAAAAAAGTAAATAACAGCAAGTATTTATACAGATAGATGAAGGATCGTAGTGTGTTATGTTCCGTTTTCCTTCTCTTCTGCGGAAAAGCAAAGAAGAGAAGAGAAAGGTTTGTGAGGAAGGACGGTGGAGAAATACAAACCCTTCTCAGATTAGGGTTATGTGCCACTATTTTCCTTTTTTCTTATCTTTTATATTATTCCGAATTTTATTTATTTTCCGAGTTATAAAAATTGTTTTTAATTACGTCACTATCCTTGGGATATTAATTAGATTTCTTCTGTTTTGAAATTACTGATTTGCCCTTCAATTTATCAAGTCTGCCAGGTTGACATTCTGGAAATTAGAGATTCAATCAATTAGCATTTTGATAATTAATCCAAATTCCAAATTTAATATAAAATTAAATCAATTTTATTTATTTTTACCATAATTTTTAATTATCATCTATTAAAAAATAATAATATTAATACATAAATTAAATTAGATATACCAATTAATTTTAAAGCAACGACTAAACAAATAGCATCATGTAGACATTCATAAAGTTTTTTTTTTTTTTCGTAACTGTTATTTTTATTTTTATTTATTATCACATTAATTAAATTATTAAAATTTAAAACGGTGTCGTTAAAATATACAGTTTAATAAAGTAATTAACACTTATAATTTATTATTGAATATCTAACGAATCAGTTAATTTTTTACAAGTTCATATATTATATTTAAATTTATTTTATTTATGTATTTTCATATTTTTACTAGTTTAAACATTAATACTAATAATTGTTCAATGATTATTGATAATTATACCTATGGTTGATGACATGTTAAAATTATGATAAATTAATTATTATGTAATATGTTATTTGACAAAACTAAGGTTAGCTAATTGTTGAATCACTAAAATTTAAAAATACAATACTATAATATACCAAAAAATAATGTATGTAATACCTAATTAATTTTAATAAATTTAAAATTAATTTATAAATATAATTTTTTAATTTTTTAATTTTAATTTAATGTAAAAATGAAGAAAAATAGCTCGATGATAAAATTAAAAATAATTTAAAAAAAAAGTGAAAATTTGTGTTTTGAATGTATTTTTGAAAAAAAAAATTGGAAACTGATAGTTAAAACATAATTTAGGAAAGTTGTACCATGTAAAATGCCCAATCAGCAGTCCTGACGGACTGGAACGCGCCACGTGGCAACGAACGCTGATACAGTATCACGTGGGAGGCCATGCCGGCGACCCACGTGTCTGCGATCGGACAGTCCAGATTCGCTCCAGCATTCCCTCTCCATACGCGATCGGACGGTCAGATTTAAACGCGATCAACGGTCCAAATCTACTTCTTATTTAAACGCAATCGGACGGTCCAGATAAGATCGTGATGAAAGGTCCATATTCATTCATTATTTAATCATTATCGGATGGTCCAGATCAAACGCAATGGACGGCTCAAATTAAAAGGGGACGGATATAAATAACACTATTTACATCAGACCGATGAACAGACAAAAATGACGATCCGCACACTTGAAGATATACTTTAAGTTTGTGTTCTTGACTTTTAGGACCATTGGGATGACCATCTACCCCTGACAGAGTTCGCCTACAACAACAGCTACAAAGCAAGTATTGGCATGATTCCGTATAAAGCATTGTATGGCCGCCCATGCAAATCGTTGATATGCTCGAAAGAAAGTGGGTAATAAGAAACTGTTCGGCCCATATCTCGTAGAGAAGACTATAGCAAAATAGTTAAAATCAGAAAGAACATTCAGACGACTTAGAGTAGGTAGAAGAGTTATACGGACTCCTGGATGAGAGATTTGGAATTTGAGAAATGCGATCGGGTATTCCTTAATGTAACTCCTTTCAAGGGAATCC